TAATAAATATAATTTATAAAATTCTCAAAAATCAAATAAGTATCGTTAAGCACAATGGCAACAATTTTTATTCGATTGACTTTAGTAGTATTGAATGTTCTTAAAGTCTAAGTTTACTATTTTCTATCTATGAATCTACGAATCTCATAACTTTATATAAAAGAGCCTATATTGTGAGCTTTTTTTTATCAATAAAAGTGTCTTAAATGCTTTTCAGCCGCAATTCTAAGCCACTTTTAGAAGCTAGATTTTTATTTAAAAAAGAGTTCAAGATACGGGCTAAGACATCCATAATGTCTTTCTGCGATTTAGACATTTTTCAAATTGGCTGAATATTAATTGAATAATTAATTAAAAGGTTAACATTAACAAAACTATTACTTCATCAATTAAATGTACTATGATATTCTATTATTTACATTTTTCAGTCTTGCATTTAACTGTTTATCAAATTATGACACAGTACAATTCAGAGTTGGGTAACTTTTTATAACAAAGTTAAAAGTTATATAGACACAAATTAACTCATTTAAAAATTAAATTAAAAATTAAATTAACTTATTTTCAAGTTAAAAATTGAAAGTTAATTATGCAAAGCAGTATATATATATATATAGACACGCGTGTACGCACGCACGCACACACACCTCTCTTCTGCTGGAAGTGGCTACTTTCTTTTATGTTATAAACTAAAACAGATAACCCATAATAAATATATATATAAATTAAATAAATAGTTAATAAAATATAATAAATAGTTTTAACAAAACACTATTGCGAGCATGATGATTGTTTATAAAAATTATTTAAGTTAGGGAAGTGTATATAATTTTGTATAGTACTATGCTTTCATTGTAATAAAAGTTATAACTTTGTTTATAATGAATGTAACGTATAAGACATGTATAATACATGTATACAATGTATAATAAAATGAAATTATTTTATTCTACAAGTTTTGTCACTGTAAAATTTCAAGGTTGGCTACAACTTTTAGAATAATTCCAGTATTTATGCCGCGCTGGAGAAATCAGAAAAAATAGAAAGAGTGGAAATAATGTGCCCACAACTACTCTGTTATATGTTGTTATTATGTTTGTATTGTGTTATGATTTCATTTTTTTATTATTAATATTAACGAAACCATCGTGAATTTAATCGATTTCTCAATGTAGTAAATAATGCAGTCATATACTACCGTGAAATAGTAACAAGTACCTGAACTTTAGTTTTAAAAATCAAAATAACAATCCAATCATCAAAATTCTTATAGTCTCCTTCAAAGTAGCCCCCATTGCTTGGTTTGATCCAGTCTCGGAAACATCGTTCATACGCGACAAACGGTATGGGCTTCAGTTCATGCAGTGATTTTTCTTTGATGTCTTCAATCGATTCGAAACGCTGTCCGCGAAGTGGTTTTTTCAGTAGGGGTAACAGGAATAAGTCGCAGGGGACCATGTCTGTTGAATACATTCGTTGAGTTTTTTGTCATAAATTCGCGCAAAGTGTCGAGGCATGTGATGGTGTTGTGATGCAAAATCCACAAATTAGTTTCCCACAATTCTGGCTGTTTCTTACGGATTGCTTCGCGCAAACGTCTCATGACGGACAAGTAGTATTCTCCATTGACTTTTTGACCAGTTGGAAGGAATTTCTGGTGCATAACATCGCGATGATCGAAGAAAACCGTGAGCATGACCTTAACTTTTGACTGCGAACGGCGAGCTCTCTTCGGTCTTGCTTCATTTTTCAAACACCATTCTGATGATCGTTGCTTTGTTTCGACATCGTATTAGTAAACCCATGTTTCGCCACCAATTATGATTCATTTCATGTATGTGCTGTGATGTGGTGGCTCAAAGCGCCCGTCACAAGAGGCGAATGCCTCCGAGGAGGTCCTCTCGTGAGGGGGTGTACTCCTCGCGAGCGCGTAAATTGGTGCGGCGAGTTTTTTTTATATACTGTGTAGCGAAGACCGCGCACTTTTGATGCGCGTATCACTAAGGGGCAAGTTCCGCGTCCCGAGAAAGTAACCACCCGCGCTCCATATGGCAGCGAGAAAAGGAGAGGGATCCGGACGCGAAGCATCCAAGACCCCCCCCCCCCCCCC